CAAAGTTCCCAGGGATCCCACCGGTGCAGGTATGAGGTCTGGGGAAGTCGCTCTCAGGTGTTTCAGTAGAGCCTGGCTAGAAGGCGTAGATGTATACAACTTCTGGTATTCAGGGATCAGAAAGAGAAGGAAGATATAGAGAGATGAGAAACTGAGCAAAGAAGAAAGACAAAAAGGGAAAAAGAGAGAAAAGAAAACAAAACAAATTAAAAAAAAAAAAGAACAAGAAAGACCCCCCCAAAAAAAACAGAAAAAAAAAAAACCCACCAAAGAAAGAAATGCCATCAGGGATCCCTCTGCATGTCTGTGGAAGCTGAAGGGGAGTCTCCTTGCCATGCAGTTCCGCCTGGCCAGAAAGGGCTCCCAACTCAAGAAAAGGAAAAGAAAACAAACAAACTATTCAAAATGAACAAACGAGCAAAAGCCCCGGGATCCCACCAGCACAGTAGCCCAGACCGGGAAGCAGCTCCACACTCAAATCGAGCTCCGCAGCCCCTCAGGAGGAAGCAAAGATGGCGCACGGAGCCAGGCACTCAAGCAAAAGGAGGGGGAGGCAGTGAGAGGCAAGCAAGAAACCAAAAGAAGCAGAAGAAAGAAAAAAAAAAGCAACACCAGCAGCCAACAAATGGCACTCAGAGAGCCAGCTAGTGCGGGCTGGTGTTTCTGGACAAGAGACTGTGTCCATGGGAAGCAGAGGGGGCTGAGTGTGGGAGAAGAAGGGTAGAGAGTGGGAAAGCGTATATCACAAATTTCCAGCACTCTGCAGCCGCTCAGGAAGAAGCAAAGATGGCGCACAGAGGGAGACACTCGAACGAAAGGAGGGGGAGATGGAGATAGGCAAGGAAGAAATCAAAAGAAGCGGAGAAAAGCAACACCAGCAGCCAACAAATGGCACCCAGAGAGCTGCCCGCTCGGGTGTGTGGAATCCAAGCAGCCGGCGCTTCCCGGTCAAGAGACCGTGTCCGCGGGAAGCAGAGGAAGCCGAGCCGGGGCGAAGAGGGGTGGGGGGTGGGAAAGTGCACTTTGCAAATTACCGGTTGTTTTGTCTCCCGCTGGACGCTCTGTGAGGCTGCTTTCTCGTACCCCCTGTTTGCTGGTCTCCGATAGGAGTCCAAGATGGTGGATCTGTGCTGTTTTAGCTGGTAGGGGACCTCTGCATGAATCTCTCCTCATTCTCCATTCTCTGTCAGTTTTCTCACTCCATTTGGTGCTTGGCTGAGTTCTGTATCTCTTCATTTGATGTTTTAGGGTTTCAGAATTGTTGTATTCTCTGTTCGGCTTAGTTTTTCGGATCTTTGCTGTGGAGGGATGGCTTGGTGCTTCTGCCTAGAGCGCCATTTTGCCGGAACTCTGATCGATTCTATACTTTCTGAGTGAACTTCTCTTACCCCCTTACCTCCCATCTTCTGAAACCTTGTTGGATTTTTCTCTTTGTCCTTAGTATTTTGAAATTTCCTGGTAATGTGACTGAATATAGGACTGGCATTTAGTGGATTTTTTCAGTCTGGAAACCCAGATACTTCAGACCCGGGGAATTTTCTTAGATTATTTCCTTTCCTCTGTACTCTCTTTCTAGAGCTCCTGTTATTTGGATATTGGGTCTCCTGAATGTGTCTTCTAATTTTTAATATTTTTTCTTTCTATTTTCCAAACTTTAATTTTTCTTGGTGATTTTCTCAAATTTGTTTTGTAACCCTTCTATTGAAATATTTATGTATGCTATTATATACTTAATTTCTAAGAACTTTTTTTATTATCTAAATGTTCCTTTATATAACATTTTGTTCTTATTTTTTACAAAATCTTCTCTGAATCTAATTATATTGTTTGTTTTATTTGCCTGAATGGTCTGTTTTTCTCCAAGGTGATTTTTCTGTTTGTTTTGAGTTCAGCATTTCATATTAGACAATTTTCTCAAATACATGTTTATTTTTAGTCTGCTAATATATAAGATTGGGGATCAATGAGCCTACTGGAATTCTCTGTGATGGGGGTCCTGCTGTTTTGCTGAGAGAACACAAATTACAAGTTTGTTTAGGTATTTCTCTTGATTGGTCAGAATTTCCAGAAGGGGAAAAAACTTTCATTGTTTTGTACTGATATAATCCTGGTTGTTAGTTTTCTGGAGTTAAGTTGGTGAAAAAGACCAGCATATAAATTTTGAGTATGGTACACCTACTCTCAACTCTGTCTTTGTCTCCTTGATCTACAAACCTTAGTAGTTGGGAAAGACACTGGGATATATCTATTTCAACCAATATTCCTGGTTCTATTCCCATTTCCACCCCTACTTCTAGAGGTGCCTGGAGCCATTTGGTGTTATTTAGTGTAAAAGAGCATACATATTTACTTTCTCCACTTCTACCTTAGGGTTCAGGTTTCTTAAGTCTGTTAGGTCAGTTAACATTCACCTACCTGCCTCCAGCTTCCATAATGTTGTTATTATCTCCTCTGTCATTATCATTGTCCTATGGGTTCACTTCTTTAAAACAAAAAACAAAAAGGTTTACTGTAATTTTACGGTATGAGGTAGGGGAAAGAAACATATTTAAATATATTTGTTAAATCCATCATCTTTAACTGAATTTTCTAAATTCTTGAGTTATTTATTTTGATTAATATCCAGGTTGATTATGTGTATTCTTGAAGTCGTTCTTTTAAGGTTTTAAGCTGCTGTAATTCTGGGGATTTGGCATGCATTAGAACGTCTTTCTGTGACTTTTATTTGTCAGACCACTTGATTAGGCAAAAAAAATTATTGGTTTACATTATCTTTTCCTTAATACTTTGTGAATTTTGTCCACTGTCTTTTGGCATTTAGTATTGCTAAAAAGAAGAGTCTCATCTTTCCTCATTTGTAAATATAAATATAAATTATTTTGTCATTATTTTTTCCTGCTTGAATACTCATAGGATATTTTATTCATTGGATTTACCACATCTAGTCTGTCTTAGTTTTGTGTTCATCTTGCATCAGTTATTCTTGGAACACAATGGGCCTTTTAAGCTACAGATTCAAATTCTTTTGTTCAGTTCTTTTTTCAGGAAAATCAGTTATGCGTTTGTAGTTTGCTTTGCCTCCCATGTTGCTATTCCCTCAATAATAATTTTATATTATTTTCATTTTGCATTTTATTTTGCTTGTTTTCTCCAAGTCACAAAGTTTTCAATCTATATCTGTTGTCCAATGTGACTTTTATCTGTGATAGTTTTATTTATCTCTTCAGTTTCTTTACTAAATTCTGTAACTTACTTTTCTTCTTCACTGAACTATTGTTGCGCTCTTTTGTCTACAATAGTTTTAAGACTATGGGGAAGTATTTGTTTAAATGCTTCCTCTGTTCTCTTGATAATTTCTCTCTGATTTTTGTTTATATTCTTTCCCCATTTGGGATTTTTTTTTCCTCCAGTATCTATACACAATTTTCCTACTGGATCCTTTGTAATTATTATTTATTCTTCTTGGTTTGGGTCAGATGTTTTCTAAAAATACTGTGGGAAGTGGATCTAGGAGGAGGTCATAGACCAAGCGAGTTGTAGCTTATAGTTTGGTTTATTTTCTCAAACACTGTCTTATCAAGTCTCTTATTTTCTTTAACTCTAGGGTACATTTACCTGCAGTTTTTAACACTTAGAAAGCTGAGTTGGCCCCAAGGAAAGTTCCTTAATTTGCAGACTCTCTGAATTATGATATAGAGATTCTTGATTGTCTGCCTTCTTCACCCCAGTTTACCTTCATCAGATTCCCTCAGCTGGGAGACTAGAAAAATCTAATCTATAGCACATCTGCATTTTTTTGCTTTGGCCATTCTACAGGTCAAAATAAGTTCAACAGAAATAGTGCATGACTTTTTTCATATAGCTACAAAGAAGAGCCAAGAGTCAAAACTCCATCTGTCCAACTTCAAAGCCCACACCCAGTCCCTTCCTAAATTTTTACAAATACTAAGTTATTTGATATATGATACATCTTATCTCTTCAGAAAAGAGATCAATATGTACATACCTATGAATATGGTAGAGACTTTATAAGTGTCTGACATATAACAAACACTCAAAAAATAGTTACTGTTTACTCTGTATCTACTATGTGAATTCTTCATAAAGACTCCATGAAGTATCCCATTTTGCAGGAGAAATTGAGTCTCAGAGAGATTCAGTAATTAAATAAATTAAATTAATTACTGAATCTCTCTGAGACTTTAATTTATTTAATTAATTACTGACTCTCTCTGAGACTCATTTTCTCTGAAAAATGAGATACTTCATGGAGTCTTTATGAGGAATTCACATAATTGATACTTAATAAATGGTAATCATTTTTATACATAGTCTGGCAATTGATTACTCTAGACAAAGTTTCATTTACAGCATATAGTCCTATCTGTATCAATCAAGACGTTATTCTTCTTTCTAACCTTTATCTGATATATACCTGTTCCATTATTGGTACTATCAACACTCTCCACAAGTCCATGTTGTCTAATCAACTGTACCAGCAGGATACATAAGGGTTTATTAATATCTAATATGAGAACAATACTTACTAGTTGGTATTAACTGTGTAGATATATATGGATTTGAAGCTCACTCTACTTAAACAATTTTTGTATTATTTCTTTATCTCATAGAAGACAGGACCTACTATTATCAAGGTAGTTTTAAAGTGATGGATATCCCATATAATAGCAATTATGAAAGGGAGACATCACAAGAAACTAATCGTCTTAGCAAAATTCTTGAGACTAAGGTAAGTTGGCATTTTCCTATATTTGTTTCATTGTAAATTTTCTGAAATTTAAATATATTACTGGAATTACATGTTTGACTCTGTTCTTTTGTAACAGATGACGGAAGCGTTTCACAATTCTAACATTTACAGACAATATGTCAATTCTCAGGTCATCAGATTGGTGTAAGTAACTAACACTAACATTCAAAAAAGTGATCAACCCACCTTACATACTGTAAAAAGAGTCTATTAATATGTTACAGCCATTATCCAATAAGTCACTAATATTATTTGATTAGCAGCTGAGCACTTAACCACTGCACTCCCAGGGCTCAGGGCTAATATTCAGCATTATCTCAAAAGCCTAATTATTCAATATAAAACTAAAGATCAGACTGGGGCTATACAGTTGAGTCTATTAGCTTAACTGAGAATGCACTAATTTTTAAATTCAGATGATTTTTCCCTGTAGTTTCTTAAGTTTTTTTTTAATTTACTATAAAACTTTATTTTTTTAATTGTGCTTTAGGTGAAAGTTGACAGCTGAAGTTAATTTCTCATACAAAAATTTATGCACATATTGTTATGTGACACTAGTTGAAATCCCTATTATGTGACAGCACACTCCTCCTTTCCACCCTGGGTTTCCCGTGTCCCTCTAACCAGCTCCTGTCCCTTCCTGCTGTCTCATCTTGCCTCTGGACAGGGGTCGCCCATTTGGTCTCATGTATCTGCTTGAACTAAGAAGCACACTCTTCACTAGTATTATTTTATGTTTTATAATCCAGTCTAATCTTTGTCTGAAGAGTGGGCTTCGGGAATGGTTTTAGTTCTGGGTTAACAGAGCATCCAGGGCCATGACTTTGGGGGTTCCTCCAGTATCAGACCATTAAGTCTGGTCTTTTTACATGAATTTGGGTACTGCTGCACGCTTTTCTCCTGCTCTGTCAAGGACTGTCTGTTGTGTTCCCTGTCAGAGCAGTCATTGGTGGTAGCCAGGCACCATCTAGTTCTTCTGGTCTCAGGCTGATGGAGTCTCTGGTTTCCATGGCTCTTTTGTCTTGTGGACTAATATTTTCCCTGTGTCGTTGGTGTTCTTCTTTCTCCTTTGCTCCAAGTGGGTTGAGACCAATTGATATTTCTTAGGTGGCTGCTCACCAAAGTGGGATGTAGAACATTTTCTTAATAAACTTTGTTATGCCGATTGACCTAGATGTCCCCAAAACCATGGTCCCCAGACCCCAGCTCTTTCTTAAGTTTTTATGTCTGCAAACATTAGACCAATGTTTAATATTTATAACATTTTTATTTAGAAGTAACGTAAATATAGACCCTATTTTCTTCTGTCTTTCTACTTGCAAGTGAGCTAAATACTTTGTGGAACTGTTCCTAGAGTTCTTATAGACCAGAGGACAGCATATCTACACGAGGAATACCTTCTACACCTATTCCTCACTTATCAGCTCTCTCATTATCCAACATTTTGCATTTACAACAATAGTAAAAAATCTACTATCTGACTATTTTGCACATTAATGACACGTATAGCAGTAATGAATGCTGTGTAGAGAGTTATGCTGGCTGTGATGGTTTAGGTTATGTGTCAGTTTTGCTGGGCCATGATTCTCAGAGGTTTGGCAGTTAGGTAATGATATAATTTGGCAGTTATGTAATGGTATAGTTATCCTCCATTTTGTGATATGATGTGGTCATCATCCATTTGCAAATAACTTCAATTTTCGCATAGTGACCTGGTCTTTGGAACCTAACCATGTCGATAAGCGAGGTGTGGGTGCATTCTCCATAAGGAGAAGTAAAGTAACTATGCTATGTCCCCCAAAACATGGGGGTGGAGAAGTATGGAATAACATAGGGAGTCCTAGAAATAGAGTTAGACCCAAGTCCAACCTCTGCCACTTACTAGCCCTAGAACCTTGGAAGAGTCACTGTATCTTTTTGAGTCTGTTCTCCCATTTATGAAATACTGATAATAACACCTACTCCGCCTCCCTCATGAAGTCTCTAAATGATGCAAATGGTTAATGTGCTTGGCAGCTAATGGAAAGATTGGAAGTTCAAGTCTTCCCAGAGGCACCTCAGAAGAAAGGCCTGACAATTTACTTTAAAAAAAGTCATCCATTGAAAACTCTATGGAGCACAGTTCTACTCTGACACAAATGGGTCACCATGAATCAGAACTGACTCGATGGCAACTGGTTTTGCCTCCCTCATAGCAATGTACTCAGGGTCAAAGACAATAATGGGTGTGAGATCATTTATGAATTGTAAACACATTTCAAATGAAGACAATTATTATTTTTGCCTCTATCCACGCCACCAGACTATGTGTCCATACTTCTTTCCTTGCTCCTGGGACTCATGGGACTCCTGCAATTGCAGCATGAATCAAGGTCCCAACTGGCATTAACCTTGAAGGTCTACTGTAGTATTGGAAAGAAATAGAAGACTAAAATCGAAGGGCCCAAGTACATCTCAGAGGTGACTGTAACCACCAGAAAACTTCTGTTTTGTTTTCCTATTCATGTAATTCCAGTATCTATAGGTAGGTCTGGTCCAGAGGACATTAGGGAGAGACCACAGGACAGAGGTTTTTACTTTCATACATCCTGCTATAGTAATCAAACTTGTGTCAGCTGAGGGCCTCTTAGGTATGGTTATTGAATTATATGCCAAAAGGTTGTACATCCCTTGCTGTTGTTGTGTGCTGTCAAGTCGATTCTTACTCATAGCAATCCTATAGGACAGAGTAGAACTGCCCCGTAGGGCTTCCAAGGCTGTAAATCTACGGAATCAGACTGCCACATCTTTATCCCACGGAGTGGCTGGTGGGTTTGAACTGTGGAACTTTTGGTTAATGGCTGAGCATTTTAACCACTGCACCACCAGGGCTCCTTCGGGCATCCTTTAGGGACACCCAAAGCATAATAATGCCACTTTAGACACTCGACTGAGATCTGCTTGACAATTCCTATATGTCCACTGGCCAGCCTTTGGGGCTGCCCACGTCTTTTCCAATTCCAAACAATTCTACCCTGAATGCCACAGTCAGAATAATCTTTCTCAAGCACAGTTTTACTGAATAACTTCTTGCTGCTGTCACTCCTTAGCTAGCATTAAGGTCCTCTTTCACCTGAGCCCAATTTTCTGGGCAATGTAGTCACTGGATGATTAGGCATAGGGAGACAGAGTGCATTGTTCAAAGTACCCAGGTTATGAAGTCAGCTGTAGTGAATCTGAATCCTATCTTGTTGTTAATTGCCGTTGAGTCCATTCTGACTCACGGTGCCCCCGTGTGTGTAGAGTAGGAGTGTTCTGTAGGGTTTTCAGGCTGTGATCTTTTAGCAGCAGCTCATTAGGCCTGTCTTCCAAGGTGCCTCTGGGTGGGTTTGAACCTCCAAACTTTCTGCTAGTTGTCGAGCACTTAACGGTTTGTGCCTTTCAGGAAGTACAATAAAAACCAAACCCATTGCCACTGAGTGGATTCCAACTCATAGCAACCCTATAGGACAGAGTAAAACTGCCCCATAGGATTTCCAAGGAGCATCTAGTGGATTCAAACTGCTGACCTTCTGTTAAGCAGCCAAGCTCTTTAACCACTACCAGTAGTTGCATAATCTTGAGTACATTATGTAACCTCTCAGAGCCTCACCCTTTCCTTGTTTATAAAGTGAAGATAATGATACCGATTGCTGTAGAGTTATTGTGGAGACTAAATGTGATAATATTATTTTTTTTAAAAGTTCCATGAATATAGCAGGTGCCAGATAAATGCAAATTAGTATCATTGGCATCCGGTTTTTCTGGAGCACTGTTCTCCTTACACTGCTTGATGAAACTTTCCTCATACTTTAAAGTCCAGTATGAATGACACCTCTTCCAGGAGAATTTCTCTGATCCTTTCAATAAAAAATGATTTATCTGCCCTCTGCATATGTGCAGATAAGATCAATATCTTATCACTTCTGCCTTTATTATAATTATTTGTAAACATGCCTTATGTTCCCTACTAGCCTGAAAATTCCTTGAGGGTAGGAACTGTATCTTAGTCTCCTTTGTATCACCCAACAGCTCCTAGCCCAGGTGCTTTCTTATAGCCATTGTTCAATAAATGATTGATGGATGCATGAATAAATGATCCCAGGTCTTAGTGATACCTCCACCTGTGCCTCAGCCCTTTCCTATTTTTCAGATTTTTAGAGCTCCTTGTCCTCTAAATTGAACTATATAGCTGCATGCTTAATCGAAAAGGAAGGTATACACACGCCCACGAAAGAGAAGAAGCCAAGATATAAAAGATCAGGGAATGAGAAAGAACATGCTATTTTTTAGCAACATATGAAAACTTTGTTTGTTTTTCCTAGTCCTGATAACAATAGTGTGACAGCTCAGATATGGCTGGTATTCAAGGCTTCCAGATCAATGAAGGAAAATACAAGAAGAATTGAAAGCATCTTAGGTCAGATGCTGAGGAACCATTCAGAATCTGTGACTACAGATCCTAATTCTCTTAGGCTCGTAGGTAAGCTAATGTACTAGATGGGAGCAATATTATTTTCATCTTTTTATCCCTAACACATATCACAAACACCAAGCACAAAACTGATCCTCAAAATGTATATTTTATTCATTGAATGAGTCATTATTTTACATCAGAGTAATTATTTGTATTCTCCGTTTTTTAAAAACACTTTCAAATAACAATAATGCCATTATCTTGAAATTGGTTCTGGGGAAAAAAAAATCTGCTTCTCATTCTAACGAGATGTTAAGACTTAGTTCTTATAAGTAATGATGTGTCTTGCTATTCTTTTCATAATCTCCTCCAACTTTCAAAAACAGCATTGGGTCTGCCATTGTAAGTCAGGTCACATTTTTAGAATTATTTTTGTGTACTGACAGGAATCAGGTTCACCTGGGGGAGCTTCCTGATCTTCTGTGGAAAGATACTGACAGTTTTCCACTTTGAATGATGTAGAATGCAATTCCAATTAAATAAAATAGAAGTTTGTCACGTGCAACTATCAAAATGGTATTTCCATTTCACATATTCACAGGTAGTAGAAGAACAATCCCAGTAAACCAACGTTCTTTCCTTTCTGTTGGCACTTTCTCCTGGGACGCTGAATTATTTCTGGAATTCTTGCTCTGCTGGATCTACTGTCTTACTCCATTGGCCCTGGGGTCAATTTACCATGGTCTTTTTGTTCTATTTCAGAAATCAGTAAGGTCAATGCTGAAAAGATTATCAACAACCGTAAGTTCAGATACTTTCTAATTAAGTGTATGAGATGATCTAAAACACGTGATAATTGCCAAGATTTGATATTCTTGGCCAGAGAAGTCCAAAGTGCTTTATATATAATAACTCATTTAGTCCTCACGACAATCCTACAGATACATACTATTATTATCCCATTTTAGAGATGGAGAAACGAAAGCAGAAAGAAGTGAAATAATTTGCCCAAATTTATACAGATTGTAAATGATGGGGCCAGAATTCAAACCTAGGGAGACTGGCATTACTTTATCTGCATGTTACAGCATAAGAATTCTCCAAGCGCCAAGATGTCTTGGAGATAGTATACTGCGTAGAGGCAACTGAGGGGCTGCTAGTGATTTCTGTACAGCCTATATTCTGTTCCCGTCAGTGTAAGACATTGCCAGATAGGACCATACGAGGACATCTTCGCTCACTCTCTGCTTTGTAATCAAATATATATAACCTTCCTATTCTCATTGGGGTGCACTGGTGGCCCAGTGATTAAGAGCTGTGGCTGCTAACCAAAAAGTCAGCAGTTCGAATCCACCAGCAGCTCCTTGGAAACCCTATGGGGCAGTTCTACTCCGTCCTATAGGGTCACTATGAGTCGGAGTTGACTTGACAGCAACAGATATGGTTTATTTATTCTCATTGGAACAATCCTGATCTTTTCCACAGGTTGTGGGAGACAAGCAAGGATGTCGGCTATATATGACAGAGTCAAGGGAGGCTCCAGTGCTCAGGAAGGAGAATGGCCATGGCAAGCAAGTCTCAAAATGAATGGCAAACACTATTGTGGGGCATCTTTGATCAGTGACAGATACCTGGTTACTGCAGCTCACTGCTTTCAAAAGTAAGTTTACTATCTCACCTAAGGCTAGAGTGACCACAGGCCCTGAGGCAGTTTCAGTTTACACACGATTCTTATCTCTCATTATTCTACTCTTAAACTTTATACTCCAGACATCCAAAACTACTGGTAGTTGCTAGAACACATTATCTTGTTTTATACCTCCCACTCCCCACACAGTTGTTTTATCAGCCTGGAATGTCTCTCTCCTCTGCTCATCTCTAAGGCAAATACGATTCCATCACGATTTCCCTGAGAAATCTTCCATTCCCTCACACATACAGATTTAAATCCTCCTGTTTTGTGGTCCAACTAGACTTTATATATACAACCATTTAAGCAATTATTATAACTGCTCATATGTCCATTTTTGCATTTAGACATTAAGCTCCTTGAAGGCAAAGGCTATTTTCATCTCTGTATCCCCATTGTTTCACATAGTTTATGGTGTAGAGTCTCACACAAGATTTTTTAAAACTGAATTTAAAAATTAGATTATATCATTTCTAATAGCTTATAGAGCAAATAAATATTAGTGTCACGAAAAGAGTACAGTAGATGCAGAACATATTTCTATTATTTTGAAATAAAGACAAAGGACATGATTTTTTGTTTCTTTAAGGACCAAAAATCCGAAAAATTATACAGTCAGCTTTGGCATTAGAGTAAGCCCTCCCTACATGCAACATTATGTTCAGAAAATAATTATTCATGAAGACTACATCCCGGGTGAACCTCATGATGATGTTGCAGTTATATTGCTCACTGAAGAAGTTTTATTTAATAACAACGTACATCGAGTTTGTCTGCCTGAAGCCTCGCAGATTTTTCTACCAGGCGAAGGTGTTGTTGTAACAGGATGGGGAGCACTTTTTTATAATGGTAAGTCCAGTGAAAACTTAACATACCCATGTAAGGTACAAAAGCAACAAGAAAAGTTAATGATGCAGGTACAGAGTTAAAGGCATTATTTATCTCCAGATGGCCAGGGTCGGGTAATACAAGGCCATCTCCCAGGAGACTGTGCATATGTAGTTATGAATTTGCAAACTGCCTTGATCTAGAACATTTCAAGGGAGCCCTGGTGGCATAGTGGGTAAGCACTCAACTGCTAACTGAAAGGTCAGCAGTTCAAATCCACCAGCCAGCTCTGCAGGACTAAGATGTGGCAGTCTGCTTCCATAAAGATTTACAGCCTTGGGAACCTATGGGGCAATTCTCCTGTCTTATAGGGTCACTCTGAGTTGGAATCTACTTGACAGCAATAGGTTTTGTTTATGAGTTTGTTTGTTGGTTTGTTTTTTTAAGAACATACCAAGGGGACCAGTTTGGTCCTAGAACCTCCTTAACCTGGAGAACCTAATTGAGAAAGTTCTGGCCCAAAGATGTAAGAAGAGAGATAAGGACATAGGAAAGAAGCATAAGAAACATGTATCAAATTATACTTTTAACATTTCTTTTTCATTGGCTTAAAGGAGGGAACTGAATGGCCTTTTTTATACTAAGAATAGGCAAGAGTCAAATACAGGTCTTAGGCACAGAGAACAAAGCACAGTTCCCATCCTGCTCTGTTTCAGAGCAACTCTTTTTTTTTTTTTTCTTTTAAATATTTTATTGTACTTCGGGTGAAGGCTTACAGAACAGATAGGTTCTCATGTAACAGTAACACACATGCTGTTTTTTGACAT